TAAAATAATTGTGCGGACTAACTCCTGCCGTTCAATTTCACCATCGCACATCGCGACATAGTTCGCGATTCCATTCAATCTGGATGATTAGCAGTCCATCACTGTGCGATTTACTAGGATTTTTCTTCCTCGCAACATTTCCTTGTGGAATCGATTTCCTCTAGCGATTTTTCTGGATCGATACGACTTAGGGACCTTTTAAAAGGCCGACAATGCATCTGCAATTCCCCTGGCGTTGCAGTTGTTCATGGGCGGTGGTAGTCACTTAGTATCAGGTGAGCTGCATGCTCGTTTGTCCGTTTGTTAAGATTTTTATTGTCGTAAATATAGTACTTATGTCTTACTCGGTCGACACTCCATCTAGTGAGGGGATGCCTTACACTTCGTGTACGTGTACGAGGGTGCTACTCGATAACCTTTCTTCCCCATCAGTTGTCGGTTCTTCAAGATATATGGCCGGCCCATTGCCACTTCAGCTTACTAATCCATTAAGCTATATCGGTTACTCTAGTTCAGGAAGTTGATGGATGCAGGTGGCTCAGGACCGTGCTTTGTAGCACCATGAAGGAGGCTATGTTCAGCAGTTGACTTGTGAAGAGCTGTGATGACGATAATGATGAAATATAGTATGAGTATCGCCGTGTAGTGGCGGCGTAAAATAATCCACTAGCCCATATCATCTCGCAGCTGTCGTGAGAGGCGTTAGAGGGCAACTAAACAACTCACGTGGTAGAGCCATGCTGCAGCTATATTAATGGTATAGTTGTAGCACGAATGGGTCGGCTCACCCGGGGAAGGACCACGCTCTCACAGAATACCAGCGTAAAATAGCAGCTTAATGCTGCTGTGTTTCGTATGGTGAGTGTAGAGAACCGGAGACCCATTTTACTGGAAAAGAGGCATTCCATCTTAGTCCTCACGGGTGACAACGCATCTGCATTTTGATTCGCAAACGAAGATAGATGTAGATGTCTATGGGCCACAGCAACCACTTACCATCAGGTGAACTGATGCTCGTTTGTCATCCTTATTCTATAAAAAAAAAACCATCTGGTCTGCAGCATTTTCCAAAATAATAAAAAACTGCGGCTGTCAACCTGCCTACCAAGCATCTTAATTATGGCAAAATGAACCTTGTGAGGTAATTTATAGGAAGGGCCTAATCTTATAATATATAAAAATAATTTTTGTAGAACGAATTTTATGCGCTGTCGTACCTAACCGTTCATCAGATTGCGCTACAACTTTGTCAACTTATTGCTTGCACTGGCGCGAAGGTTATAGGCATAGTACAATTAAATTACAATAGGTGGCGCGCATATCGTACCGATATAAATGTATTATCATTCACAATATGACCCTTCCAAGTTTAAAACGATATTTCCACAAGTTTTTTTTCTGCGACAGCAACGCGCCGTGTACCAGCTAGTTATGTATAAAAATGACTATTTATTTGTCCCATGTGCGTTTCTATACCATTTATCCGAATACGATGATGATTTGGTTAATTATGCTTTCCAAAAAAAAAAATAGATATTTGAATTTAATAAAATAATGATGGTAATATTTCATGTAACGCTATAATAAATAGCCACTATTAACACGTTAAGTGTAAAGCAATTAGAATATTTGGACAAGAACTAAGAATAAACTGCTGGTCTCAACAAATACACTTAGAGTCTTACTTTAAACACACGACACGAGTACGATACGTCATTTGAAACATCGTAGTCCTGTAGTAGATTTTGTATACATATTTTTTTATTAATATATTATCATTTGCAGCACTTCCCTGCTCCAAAACCTTCTTAGTTAATGAGTAATTATTAGTTTTATTAATTAATTATAGTTAATAAACATAGAGCTTGTGCCCAGAAGGAATACAATATAAACTGTAACTTTAATCTGCACAGGTCCTAAATTAAAAATTAAGAGGCTTTGCTAGACTTCAATAAGTTTTAATATAAGAATTATATTATGTTATGAAGATATGTTTATTACTAGCTTTTGGAAAAGAAACGAATTCCTATAAAACATTACTTTTTTAATTATATATAAAAAAATTGTCTGTCTGTCTGTCTGTATGTATGTTCGTTATAGAAACAAAAACTACTCGACGGATTTTAATGAAACTTGGTACAATTATTCTTCATACTCCTGGACAGGTTATAGTATACTTTTCATCACGCTACAATCAATAGGAACAGAGCAGTGAAGGTAAATATTGGGGTAACGGAAGAAATTACTCCATTTTTTAAGCTTCCGTCGCGTGTGCAGCCTTAATGGTTAAAGCTACACAGAAATAATGTATAACGGAAATGTTCTTCTTAAAATTATATAAAAAATATTCCACGACAGCATATGTCTATCTTTTATGGTTGACTCACAATAACACGTGTAACTCCCGATAACTTAACAGTTCGGAGCTTTTTGATTATATTTGTCTACTCTTGTTAACAGGCATTTAGGACGGGAGCAACCCTCAGTAAAATCTATGCTCCGTTTACGCGTTTTTAAAGGCAACAACTGATTATCGTATTTTGTGTTAATATACACATATTTACCAATTCTTAACATTATACTTACATTTATTTCTATTCTCTTTTTATTATTATTTTATTGATAAATATTTTATTAATAAATAAATAATTATTAATCTAATAGTCATAATAAAACAAAATTAATAATAAATACATAATCGTTATTTTCAGCTGTTATTAGGAAGACACTGCTGTCCTTCCCCTGTCTCTGTTTCCCTCTGTCGCCTCTTACGACACTCACGGTACGACATGGGCTAGTGGGTATTCTCACGCCGCTTCTACACGGATAACTTAAAAATGTATTGCCGCCAAGAAAGAGTCCTTACAGATCTTTCGCAACGAAAGTGTCGTATTAAAAACTTACAAAATCTCTGTCTCTTTCTACAATCTTTGTTCGATTAATTTCAATTCAGTCAAGATGTTAGCTCGATGTATCACAGCTGACTTGTCACGTGTCGGGTGGTATAAAGTGGTCCGCTTTTAATTAGTGCCGCCATATGTGCCGGATCACGTCACGTCGCGGGGGACGCCCTCACTTGCTCCCGTCACCCCTCCTCGGTCCCCTTCATACCACCTTGGTGATAGTATAATTATCTCGCTTTAGTACATCCAAATAATTAGTCTAAATGAGAGGAGAAAGCGTTTTGTTTAAATCAAAAGTATGAAAGTTATTAAGTAACAAATAATAATACTAATACCACGTCTTGATGTTTAATACTATGTTGTTTAGTGTATGATGTCCCACGTATGTCTATGAGCGGATACGAGCCTAGCTTGTTCGGATTAATTCAAGCTACTGAATCCACCATTTTTACATTGCGACACAACTCGAAATTTCGTTTTCATTATCTCAACGGATGTCGGTGAACTACCGTGCGATTTATGCGGGATTTTCTACCTCGCACAACTTCACTGTAGATTTTACTGGCGCCAGTTTGTTTTTTCGATCGATACGACTTAGGAACCTTCAAGAAAAGATTCTACTCCTTTCTAAGGGGCGGCAACGCACCTGCAATTTCCCTAGTGTTATGCTCGCTTATTTTTATAGGATAAGGGTGACAAACGAGCACACAGTCCACATGATGGTAAGTGGTTGCTGTGGCCCATAGACATCTACATCTATCTTCGATTAAGAATCAAAATGCAGATGCGTTGTCACCCGTGCGGACTAATCTGGAATGCCTCGTTTCCAGTAAAAATGATCTCCGGTTCTCTACACTCACCATACTAAACACAGCAGCGTTAAACTGCTATTTTACGGTGGTATTCTGTGAGAGCGTGGTCCTTCCCCGGTCGAGCCGACCCATTCGTGCTACAACCATAATATAGCTGCAGCATGGCTCTACCACGTACAATTGTCTAGTCTTCTGTAAAAAAATCTCACATAGTTATAATGTCCTAGCTCTTCACAGTCGTATAGCTTTATAGATTTCCACGAAAATGAATACTAGGAAAACATAGCGTGATAAATATACACTTCCCGCTACATCTCGTAATTTAGGCCTCGTCCAAAACGAAGAGTAATACAGACGACGTGTGGGTTACGGCGAAAACGTTTAATTTCGTCGATGATTTCGAGAAACGAGCGGCAGCCTTATGAGGTGATGACCCATTAAGTAATTAGCGTTGTCGAATGGCTCTAAACGCTGTAACATACGTCTGCGGATAGACGTTTTGAGGTTACGATGAAAAAAGTAAGTTCTTGTGTATTTGTTGAGTGACAGTTGAGGTTTGTTCCATTTATAAAGTATTTTAAGACGAGTGTACAACATTAAATGGTTAGATTAATTATATAACGTCTTGATGAAGCGTGTAATGGAAACTAACACTGTACGACCATTTTAAGATTGTCAATTTAGGCTATTATCCGACCTATTTCAGATAGCTTTCAACTGAGAGCACATTATTTATAGTTGAAAGCTATCAATTGCACACAGAATATTATTGTGCCATTAGTGCAATAAGACATTCATATCGGATATAGACATGGTCAGACAGACAAATTATTTATATTTAAACAAATAATTTGTCTATGTCTGACCCCTTTTACTGAAATCGAGTCCAAGGGGTAACAAGGCATTTGCACATTGATTAACACAGGCCACAGTATTCACTTACCTCGACTATCGACTGTGTGTTCGTTTGGCACCCTTATTATAGATATAAGATAAAAAAAATAAAAAGTCCAGTTATTCCTTTAGTCAATTAAGAGACCGACTAAAAACCAAGGTGTGGTATCCCACATATTGTCCCTGAAGCGGGATCCTTTTTCATATAACACAACTGTTAGTTTCTCTTATTATGTACGATCTTCTGTTTTTCAATGTTGTGTGTTTGTCAAACAAAAATGATTCCCTCTTTCTTCTTTGTTCTTTAGAGTAGTCTTGTACCCCATACTGTGTCACGAAGTCTAAGGTGAGATAACTGTTAAAAAGATTAATATCAGAGCTGTACACGTACCTGGGTCTCGGTGACGTTAAGAAGTTTCGCCATATCAGCCCTCTCGCCAGACGACAGGTACTTCTTCACTTCGAATAGTTTCTCCAGCTCGAAGATCTGCCGACCCGTGAACGTAGTACGCGCTTTCTTCCGCCTCCCGGCTCCTGACTCCTCGCCCTCCTCGCTCGTCAAAGATCCCTCGCCTCCGAGCGGTGAACGGACATCTTCCGTGGACTTTTTTCTTTTGATTAATTTTGAAGGATCTGTAAGATAAATGTCAATGTTATAATTACATAACATGACAAAAAACAAAACATTTTTTCCCAAAAATATTAATAGTATATCTATTACTACCTACATACACCTGAGATACCTACAGCATATTCCCTACTTTTTATAATTTTTTATAATAACACACAGTGTCGTAAACACCTAACAAGGTTTACCTTTACACCTATTATTAGATACTATTTTTAGATGAACGCTTTGCTTAAATTGAATGTACAGTTTATTAAAAAACAATAAATATATATAAATAAACTAATGCAATCGTTGCAAAACGCATCAAATATGCAAGCGTAATTACCCATATATGGAGAGAAGACATTCGTGACGATGAACCGTGGGATCTAGGTTCCAAGTCTCGCAATAGTTCAGAATGAAGCGCGCCTTGGTTTCAAACTAAATCTATTTAAAGTAAATTTTCTTAAGCTTTCTTTAGTATCAATTGTTTAGTGCAATGTTAAATACGTTTTTTTTTTATAGGATCTGGTGACAAACGAGCACACAGTCCACCTGATGGTAAGTGGCTACTGTGACCCATAGACATCTACATCTATCCTCAATAAAGACTCAAGATGCAGATGCGTTGTCACCCGTGAGGAATGCCTCTTTGCCGGTAAAAAGGGTCTCCGGTTCTCTACACTCACCATACGAAACACAGCAGCGTTAAGCTGCTATTTTACGCTGGTATTCTGTGAGAGCGTAGTCCTTCCCCGGTCGAGCCGTCCCATTCGTGCTACAACCATAATATAGCTGCAACATGGCTCTACCACGTAGAAAATCTACCACGTAGTGATATCTCAATTTTTTATAGAATTAGGATAACAAATGAGCATAATATTTACAATGTACCTGAAGTGAATGCTCTGGCCTTCGTGCATTTACGCCTATCCTCGATTAAGAATTAAAGTGCAGATGCGTTGCCTCCCCTAAGAAATAAGATGGAATACCCCGTACCCAGTAAAAAGGTTATGTATATCCGATTCTCTACACTCACCATACGAAACACAGCAACATTGAGCTGCTTTTTACACTGGTATTCCTAACACGGTGGAGCCGACCCATTCGTGCTACAACCATAATATAGCTGCGGCATGGCTCTACTACGTAAATTTCCACGTTGTTGCTAAAGATATGTCTTTGGTATCACGAATGGACTGCTTCACTGGAAAAATCCCGAGTGTTTTTTAAATTTAAAATAAGTAATTGTCTTCTGCAACAACGTATGCACTTTTATTGAAAAAAAAAATCGATAAACACCTAATCTACATCAGTTATGAATTTTGAAACAAATCACATACATATGACGGCTCCGTGGCGCAGTAACTTAATGCTTAGTTGCGACTCCGAGAGCCGCGGGTTCCGAATCCCGCACGGAACAAGTATTTGTATGGCCTACAAATAATTGTTCCGGGTCTGGATGTTTGTCCTTGCGCAATTTGTATTTTTAAACTGCCTCCACGATACAGGACAAAATCCTAGTGTTGGGGTAACGTTTATAAAAAAGAAAAAAAATATCTCAAATAAATATCCAAAATGAATAAACATTCCCGGCCACGACGCATCTGCATTTCAATTCTTAATCGAGGATAAATATAAATGTAAATGTGCCACAGTATACACTTACCATTAGGTGAACGGTGGGCTTGTTTATCACCCTTATTCTACATTTAAAAAAAAACTCAAGTGAGAAACAGACAATTATTAAAGGCTATAAGCGCTTGTCCGTCAATCAACGGGCTCGAGCGATCACAATCAATCCGCTACGACCGATGGCAATTAAAATACTTGGCACCGGTGACAGGACTCCATCCGTCGGGCGCGGTCACGTGGACCGAGAGGCGCATTAAAGTGTTAATTCATACACACAGACTAAAAAACATTTCAAAAGTGTTTAAAAACTTGTTTTTTTTTAAATATATTTTTAAGGTTTATTCCCTCCCGAACAAATATTGAGGTATATTCCTATATATTTCCTTTTGTCATAATTGGAAATTTTGGGGAACTTGACCGCCATTGAGTTATAATGTACTATGACGTGGTCGCGGAGCAGGAAGAATTTCAACTTATTGCAATTCATACAAATGTGAAATTTAATTACTTGAGAATAAACTATTAAAAATTATCTTAGTTGCAATAGAAATAAAACTTTTTATGATGGAATTATGTTTAAAAATGCAAAGCAACACAAAAATTCCTGCTCCACGACCGTTAGTTAGTTAGTTACAGCCTATTATAACATCCCACTGCTGGACACAGGCCTCCTCTTATTTCAGAAAGGGTTTTAGGGCAAGGAAATGAGCGCCGCGCTGCCCCAATGCGAGTTGGCGAACTTCACATGTCTTCGAAATATTTTTTTCCTATTTCGCCGAGCACGTGGTAAATCAGCACTTAAAATTTCAATTTCAATTTCATTAGTGCCGGTGGGGATCGGACCCGGGTTGCTCGCGTACTGTGAAATTTAGAGCAAGCGCTAACCATCTGAGCTACCAGGACTCTCCGCGACCGTGCTTTAGTACATTATAACTCAATGTTGACCGCGGACGGACTATTGCTCCTGTAATAGCAATTTCAAGTGGATTTTGATACGTGAAAGTGGTGCGATTTTGTGTAAGGTACTTGAGGGTAATATGCCTATGGCTTATGGCTTTGCCGCCCTATAAAACCAAAATTAAGAGGAGAACAGAGACTAAAACACAAAGTCGTATACTATAACTAATATATTATGAAAACAAATAGCAAACAAGCTTTAGGAATAATTAGGACCACTTCGAAAAGTCAACTTTAAAAAAAAAACTAACTAAACTACACAATACTTTATTCTGTGATAATACTAAAATCGGCTAAAATATTTATTGTAATGTCAACTGTCAAAATGGCGTCGATAAAGCAGCATCCAGTGTCCTTTGCCCTTTTGATTCATTATTATTTGATTGAGTGATGAAGAGCTATCGTATCACAGAGCCATCAATGCAAACAAGGCTGTTTGTATTATAAGAAAGTGACCATATTAACCGGATGACCATAATATTACCCTCAAATACTATATTAAATATAAATATTAATCACAAGTTTTTTATCCGCTTGCCACCCGGCTTGAGATACCATCGTCTTTATCTTTACGATAGGACAAATTTTCATCATATGAAAATTTTTGTAAAATAAAATACACATTTGACTATGCTTAACTTTTAATTTTTCGACTGTATTAATCATGTAATAAATTTAAAAAAAATACAATTTGACATCACCATAAAATAAATTTGGCGAACAGTTATTGTCAAAAATTTGAAACCTATAATTTCTATATCTGAAAGATATAATACCTAGTGAGTAGCTTTTACTCGTGACTTCATATGTGTAGAATTTAAACAAAAAAAAAACTTGCAGATCTGTGACAATTCTTTGGTTTGCTGGGACAATGTTCCGTTAAAGTATGATCCAGTAAGTGCTAAGAAATTGAAACTAATCTTCGTTGACACTACACTTGGATTACTTACAACATAAAGCTAAGAATATTATGCGTAATTTTCTTAGACTTAAAGACACTGTAGCGATAAACATCATTTTAATTTTTTTACGTCAAACAAATGTCTGCTGACAGATATAGTCTCAATATATCGGAATATGTTTTAGAAGTTTTTGAGAGTAATAATTAACAACCATTGGAATAGTGGACTTGAGGAATATAGTGACTGAGTTAAATTATCAATATAACAACTTTAAACTCAATTTTTGCGATTATCTCTTATCTCTAACTTAAAACTATACGTAGGTACTATACATTTTACGTAAAAAGGATTCTTTAACATCAGCGTGAGACCTTTATGAGTAAAATCGCAAAACAATTTTTTATATTTTTTTTTTATAAAACTAAAATAACAAACGAACTTACAATCCACCTGATGGTAAGTGATTATTGCAGTCCATTTTTTTAATAGGGTAAAAATGAGCACACAGTCCATGCGATGGTAAGTGGATATTGCGGCCCATAGACATCTACATTTATCCTCGATTAAGAATCAAAATGCAGATGCGTTGTCACCCGTGAGGACTAAGATGGAATGCCTCGTTTCCAGGAAAAAGGATCTCCGATTCTTTACACTCGCCATATGAAACACAGCAGCAGTAAGCTGCTATTTTGCGCTGATATTCTGTGAAAGATAATACAGATGCATGGCTCTACCGTGAATATTTTATTATTATATCAAAACACAGTTAGTTAGTTTTAACAGTGGTAGAGCCACGCGGCGGCTTATGCTGTCGCACGGATGGGCCGGCTCGAACCGGGGTGGTACCACGACCTCACAGAATACCAACGTGAAGTAGAGGTTTACCTCTGCGTTTCGCTTGGCGAGTGCAGGTGGCCGGAGGCCCTTTTTACTGGAAATGAGGCATTCCATCTTAGTCCTCACGGGTGACAACGTATCTGCATTTTGATTCGCAAACGAGGATGGATGTAGATGTCTATGGGCCGCAGCAACCACTTACCATCAGGTGGACTGTGTGCTCGTTTATCACCCTTATCTTATAAAAAAAAAACTTATATAGAAACTTTTAAAATCAGTCGTGAGACATAACCTTTCTAACTTAACTTTCTGCATTTTAACTTTTTAAAGCAGTTGATGAAAAATCAATTATGTCGTTTTCATATTCCCACTGTACTCCGTATATTTCTCTCAGTAACCTATAACAGTGGATAATTAGCGCTAATTGCAGCGGCGCGAACAATACGGTGTCGTTACGTGAGAGAAGAGCGATCATTGTGATGTGTGCACTTTTATATGTGCGTAAGGGTAAGGCCACACTAGTAAATCGCTCATGTAATTGTTTTTTTTTAATAAATAAATCAGCTTGAAGAATATCTTTTTTACTTTTAAATGTTCCTAATTTCACACTTTTTTCTGAAGTACTATTCACACGATTGAACGTCACCGCTGGCGATAAGGGAACTGATTTTTGGCCCAAAGGTGGAGCCAAG